GTGTGATGCTCTGGTATTATCACAATCACCTGCTAGCCTGAAGGAGAGAAAGCTCAGGCAGTTCTTGCCTGTGTGTATAAATACCTGATGGGGGTCAAACAGAAGATGAAGACAGAGTCTTCTCAGTGGTGCTCACTGACAGGGCACAAACTGAAACACAGGAAATTCTGTTTAATGATCAGAAACACCTTTTTCACTGTGCAGGTGGTCAAACACTAGAACATGCTGCCGAGAGAGGCTGTGGAGTCTCCATCTATGAATACTCAGAACTAAACTAGGCAAGCCATGGACAATCTGCTCTCTGATCCAGCTTGAGCAGGGGCAGGACCAGACGAGCTCCGGAGGTGTTCACCAGCCTCCACCATGCTTCTGTGAAATGCTGCCTTCTCTACCAGTAATTTTATTAAACCCTGAAAGCACACTGACACACTGAGTGTCATCCTGTGATCAACTCAAAGGAAATGAATAGTCATCAGGACATGCTTTTGAGCAAGAAAATTATTTCTTAACTTCTAAGCAATCACTGTTTTGGCAAATTATTTATCTGTCAGCTTGAGAGATGAGAACAGGCAATGCCAGTACCCGTATGTTTCTTTTGCTGCAGATCAGTCAGCCAAAGGTTCCTGAGTATGTGAATCTGTCTTTGAAATTATTATTTTGAAACACTTTGGACAAAAACATATGAAACCCAAACTTTTTCTTCAGGGCATATAGACTGTTCCCTTCTGCCAGTACCAAAGAGGTAAATTAGCTTTATTGCAGAACAACAGAAGACATTCTGAAGGTTTTCTAGAGATTAGTTTATTAGCTAATAAACCAAACGGAATACACGTATTTCATCAAGATAGCAGAAATGCATTATCTCAAATAATAAGCCCAGCATTTGCATGCAGCTCATGACAGCCAAGTGACTGTGAGTAATACAAGAGATAGATACACAATTAACAGGAAGGAGATGTTGAAGGAGAGGGATGAGGATACACGCAGAGCTGGCACAGCAGAGAGGACAATCCCCATGGTGGTTAAGGATATCAGGCTACAGAGGCAGCCGCATTCAGCTCAAGCTGCCTCTGCCCAAACCATGATGAAACCTGCATAAGGCACTTCCACACCACAACCGACGTCACTGTGCTAATATGCTGAGAGGCACAGTGTGTGCTCGGGCACTGTGCCACGCTACGGCAGCTCTGCGCTTCTTATAGCCAGAGTGTGTCCAGATGGCTCAAAAGCTCACATAGCTCAGGCAAGGGTCTGTCTGTCCCCAGCCACAGGTATGACCCAAGGAGCAAATTCTGAAGAGCATCTTAGTTTCTTCTCAAGGTGCTCATGAGCTTGTAACTAGTTCTGAAACATGCTGAGAGGAGGGAAAAAGATTGTAAAGTAAAGGAAGTGGGACGCAGGAAAATGGAAATGAGAGATAAAAAATATCCTAATAATCAGTAAATACTCTGCTAGTCTTGGCACTGGCTTATAAAGGGCTGGTACACAAGGCAGTGGGGGACTACAAGTCTGGAAGAAGTGGGAGGAAAGTGAAGAAGGGTGGAAAAAAATAGAGCAGAAATAAGATCCCCCTTTGGTACATCTGAAAAATGCTGGGTTTGTTCAGCAGTTCATGAAGCCACTGCTTAAGGCCCTGGGGTGATTTGTGCCTTTAGGGAAACTTGGAGAATGTAGAGCGTCCTCAAATTAACTGCAAAATCAACTTATATTCTGAAAGATGACAAAATGATGTGAGAGAGAATTTAAGGTCTGTCCAAAGAAATTAAATTCAAGGAAGTCTTTGCCATTACTGTTGCTAGAAACATAACTGGTCTTATACAATGTAGCCTGGGGACTGTCTGTCCCCTCCACTAAAACAGAAAGAGATTGGGACTTTCGAACACATTAAACATAACTAGAAGACATATTTTGCTTTCAAACTCAGGACTTTTTATTATTAAGGATAAATTGGTTTACTAGCATAAAGAATGAATGATCTGAGGTTTTAGTAGATACATTGTGTCTCCACACCAGTTGACCACTACCAGAACATCCATAAGTCATTGCTTTTGTCTTGCACTGTAAGGGCCTGCCTTCGGTTTTCTTTTTTTTCTGGATTTACATTCTTGACTGTATTATATCAGCATCAATCAATCTGACAAAAGTAAATTCAGTATGAAATGTGAAATCTATTTTCCCAATAATTACTGACTGTAGCTATTTACATTGTTAAATCAATATTCCCACCTCCTTGTTGACAATACCTTCACCCCATTCCCATTTTCTTTTTAGTTTCATATACTTTCTCTGACAAAAGAAGAATGAAAAATATTTTTCTTGTTTTTAACACTTCTGTTCACCAATATAAAATAGCAAGATGCACAGGCAACTGTGAGTGCTTAAAATACCTTCATTAAAACAGGAACTAATCCAAACATTGTCCCATACAAACAACAGTAAACATCTTGGATGAACATAGCGATTAGGCTGGGGATCCCAGGAGAGAGGCTTCAGCTCAAGGTAAAGACAGATGCTCTCTCCCCCGGAGCTGTGACAGATTCACATCCTGTGATGTTTGGATACAGACCTCTTTACTTGCAACACATTGGTTCATTCTGCATGTAAATAAATGACTACACTTATTTATATAAGCTTGTTGTTATGCATCCCAGCCCTTCGAATTGGGATGTGGAGCATTTCCAGTGAAAGATTCTTAAACACTGTACAAACTTTCTATGTCAGTCCTCAATGGCCTGGATTCCAGCCTTCACCCATGCAAAAACAAAAGTCACCAAAACCTTTTCTGTTTACTGTAAAGACTCTGATTCTGAGCCACAGCCTTGAGCTATTACTGCTGTGCTGCAGAGCGTCTCCAGGAGCAGTTTGTCTCTCTGAGTCACAACTCCTTTTCTTTCATCTTGCTCTGTGCAGGAGCACTAACTTAATATGGGCCTCAAATTTTCTCTCAGGCTACCTCAGCCACCCAGCTGAAAGGTAGTCTTAAATCCCATCTGAATTGGAGGTGATGTGCAAAATAATTGCATTTTTATTCCTAAGCACTGGATCCAGAATTAATAGGTAGGACAGCCAAAATGAGGGAACTAGTTCTTGTCCACAGAGTGCACACCACAGCCATGTCCACTGATAGACAAGGACAGAAGACGTATAAATGAGATGTCGTGGATATTTAAAAGGATATTTAAGACTCTTTATGAGAACAGAAATATATTCCATCATGCAGGCTCACATGTGCACTCCTGGAGCTGCAGTGGTGCCCTGTGTCATCCAGACACTGCCTGCTGCCACCAAGGCAGTGGTGTTCAAGACGTTCTGTATGTGTGCGTGCGTGCATACGTGATGCTTATGAAAGACTGTGGAGCTGGCATCAAAGTGTAAAGCAAGAACAACACAAGCAGAAATAATGTATGACCCTAAACCACCCCAGACGTGAACATAAATGGAAGTTGTCTGGATAAAGACTGACAGCTCTTTGAACACAAGCACTAAGAGATGCATTTGTGGTGCTCCTAGAAGGACTCTGGCTCAAAAAATCAATGCAAGGATTTGTTCAGCCCAATATGTGGCATTTTTTCTCCCCTTCTCAGACAGGCTAATTTTACCTAGAAACTTGCCGTCTGCATTACATCTCCTCTTCATTTTCTGCAGATCATAAGGCATTGTCCAAAACTGACTTAATAACACCAGTAAGATGGATTGTCACTTTAGGTTACTCAGGCAGTGGTTAAAATTAATAAAGGTTCAGGCTGCTTCTTTGTGCTGCAAATGTTGTGTGACAGACCAGCCTGCTGAGGAGCCCAGTCATAGATGCTGGGCCCCAGATCACTCCTCAGACACCAGCATGGTGGCTGCAGCATTCATTTTCTCAGGAAGACATCTGACATTTCCTTCTCTTCATACTTGCATATCCCTGCTGAAGAGCTGAAAGTGTAACCTCAAGCCCAGCCAATGTTCTTCTCGCACACACCAGGCAAGAAATACCATTAGTGTATGAACGATGTACGAGGTTAATGGTTTCTGCACCCCTCCCTTTTGACCACAAGCTGTTGCCTCTCTCCTTCTCTTCCACAGTACATCAGGAATCAAAAGCTTTGACCCTCACTCTCTGCAATGCACTTCTCTTATGCACAACTGCTTCCCAACAGGGGCTGCAGAATTAGGCATAAGGCAGCAGCATATGACAAATGATGCTCTTTTTGTAGACTGCGCAGAGCTGGAGGTCAAACACACTATTAATAATTCTCTGACTTTTTAAAAGCTGCAGTCCCTCCATTTGTTGGCAACATGATTTTAAAGGTCTGTACACCACTTAAAACAGCAGCTGAACACAGGCACTTCAGCACTGTCCAATATTGATTTTTTTGCCTCTAACTCGCCTCTTTGCTAAGGCTGGTTTCAATATCCTGTGAAGTTTAAGTAGAGGTATTTCCTATCTCAATAGCTGTGCATTGTCATTTGATAGCATAGATAACCCTGTAGTATTTCCCTTAGTAACATGATTTGGCTCAAAGAGCAGGATTGCCACAAAATCTCTGTCTTGGACCACTGCTGCCTGCATCACAGGAAGTCTGAGGGAGGAATGAATAGAGGTGGGCTGGAGTGGGGAATCCAGTCACCAGGCTGGTCACCAAGCTCAAGCTGTACCAAGAAAAAAATCAATACAGTAAGGAGATGGTACAGCAGATTATTTCTGCCTCTAGAGAAGGGATCCCAAGGAAAGAGTAAATTCAAAGCACTAGCTGGTGTGCTCCTACAAATCAGACATTTAAAGGAAAAAGATATTCAGGAAATTTAGCATATACTTACCCAAAATTAAGGAAACAAAACAAGCATATGTGCAATGTGAAAACGTGAAAGAAAAATAAGCATTGTGAACATGGGTCTGGCTAGTCATGAGATTGGCCTAAAATTTAGGAGATTTCCCCACTGGGGAAGTTAGGACATATATATAACAATATTTGGCTTTGGGGTTTTGGGTTGTTTTTTTTGGTGGGGAAAACAGGCAAGGACAGCAAATGAGATCCTGCTAGAAAAGAAAAAAGGTCCTGAGGAACTACTCTATATTCATACTAGAAAGAAAAAAAGACAAAGAATGTGTTTTCTGCTTTGTGGGAGGGACAGAGAAGCACAACTGAAAATGACACTGAGAAGGCTGAAGTGCTTCAGACTACTATTTTTTCTTTAACTCACTAAAAAAAAAAATATAAACCGATTGAGACAATCCACAGACTTTAAAACTTATTAAGAACTTAGACTGCGTAAAGAGCAGAAAAAGAGGCTACACAGATACATTACATATCTTCAAATCAGGTAAGCCTCATAAAATTCACCCCAGAGTGCTCAGGGAACCAAGTGAAGTAATTTCACAGCCATGAGCAATTATACTTGAGGTATGATGGAGAGTGAATGAAGCTCCAGAAGACTGGAAAAGGACCTCTCAAGAGCTCTTCCAGCCATGGTTACCATTCCTGAAAGGAGACAAAAAACAAAGGTAAGATGGTTACTTATTGATCCATAGCTCCTTCTTCAGGAAGCCACTGCAGCAAAACAACTACTTGTTATCCACACTACAGGGAAAGCATAAAGTTTTGAGACCATGGGGTCAGGCTTGATCAAATCAAAGGCCCATCATCACAAAACTGTCTCAGATAGTTGCCTGCAGCAGATACTGCTGTTATCTAAAACAAAGTGTAGGGTGAGCATGCCCCAGTATACTCTCTCAGCTCTTAGCAAACAGAAGCTTAGAGACTTACAGAGCTAGAGACTTTGCATCTTTCTGTTAAGAGCCTTCTGTGACCTGTAATAGCCCTTAACAATTACTAATCAAAGAGATCATAAAAGTGCTGTCTTTATTGCATGAAATCAGAAGATAATACATAGAAACTGAAAATAGGCACATACTTTATACTACTCTGCCTTGCAGTGACTGTATCTTTGTTCCCAGCTTCAATATATTGTTATCAAGTATACATTCATTTTGCGAACAGCTAATCCTTGAGAAAAGCAACACCAAAATGTCAGCCTAGCTACTTGGTATTATTTACATTCAAGCACAGTTACTCTGGCTAGTTTGTCAAAAGCTGCTTCATGTTAGAGTTGAACCAAATTTATTTTAAGCTATAAAGGAACAAAAGACAATCTTACATATGGATACTCTGCAGCTGGAGAACAGTGATTAAAGGACTTTATTTACATTTCTAGCTGATCAACATCTTTTAGATACTTCTAATGGGAAGAATTGATTTTTTTTGCCCCTACAAAACAGACTGAATCAATTTTGCTACTGGAAATGTTTTATTCAACCATAGCTAAATTTCCCTGCATACACATCTGTCAAAGCAGAAACTATTATTGGAAAAGATAAGCCTTTTTTGCTGATATAAAGATATCTTCTATTATTTCAACAGAAGCCTATTAAAATTTTCATTTGAAATTAAAATTTAGTTGCATTAATCAGAAAAAAAATATTTGCCATCCCTTTTGGATTAATTTATTCTAGGGGTTCTGCAACAATTAAGCTTTTTCTGCAGTGCTGGACTATGACTTAAGAGGCCTTGGTTTCTGTCCTCAGCTCTTCAGCTGGCTCTCTGGGCAAAGGAGGTGACTCACTTCATCTGTAAATGGGGAAACTATATGCTCTGTGCACAGCTTTGATATCTTTGTCCTTCCTGAAAACATTACGTACCATGCCACATGGTATCTCACTTCTCAACGCAGACAGAAGCACTTTCAGTGCTGATCTGCAGGTTACACACTGGGTGCAGGTGAATAAAAAAATGCATGTGTCTGTCAGACTGCAATGCCCTTACAACAACGATCAAATGACTGTGAAGTGTAACTCACTTAATGGTAATGCAAAGGTGGACAAATCTGCACTTAAATAAGCAGAAAACTCTTTACAAATCTTTAATACAGCAACTCTGCAGAAGCATTTTAAGTGTGGATTTGCACTGAAAATTCAATACAAACATGCATTATTTGACTGAGTTTCTACAGTGGGCACTGAATTTACATTTACACAAACAAATATTAACTAGGTTCATTTAAAAAAAGAAGTTCTTGCCTGGTTTTATGCAAATTTGTAACAGCCATAATTTATTTTAAACTGGTAAGAAAATCAGAGAGATCTCACCTCCCTGCAATCTGCAGGACACTTGACCTTGCCAGGACTTATTAGTGTGGGGAAAACAGTGAACATAGCACATGATGATGAATCCTTCAAAATTTAAAAAGGTACGATTAAGAAGAATCCTGTAAAATAGAGCAACAATTAATTTAATGTTTGCTTTCAGTTAGAAAGCCTCCCAGATCTGTAATCTGATGGATTGTCATATCTATAAATATACTTACTCTCTTAACCTCTTACTATTGGTTGCATACCACAGGCCACATCTGGTACCACTGCAATGTTACTGCAGCTGATTTGGCCACTTCAGGGTAGCAGCAACAGTCTGAAACCTAAATTGCAAATAGGGGCCCTGCTATACTTGGTATCACGGAAACAGGCAATAGGAGCAATCAGCCCCTGCTCCAGCCTGGATCCCCACACTCTGTGGCATTCACATCATGCTTTGATTCTTGTGAGAGTGACAGCGACAGCAAGGTGATGCTACAAGGCATAACCTCATGGCATACCTTACTGTTGCATTTGGGAGGCAGTAGAGTCTGTCAAAGGTGACTGGCATCCCTTATAGAAGCAGAGGTGAAGCCATCACTGAGGCAGCCATGCCCAGCCTGCAGCCGTCTGGGAGCACTGCTCCTGCCTCTGCCCACATCACCCACCACCACCAGCGCGTTCTGGGGACCTCACACCCACCATTGTAACCACGGCCGGTGCTGGGCCTGATACCATCTGCTGTCCCACCTTGGCCATGGCCAAGCCATGGGGTGAGGATGTGGCAAGTGGTGATGCACAGGGTTATGGTGGGCAGGGGCTCGACACCCACCTCCCACCACAGCACCTCCCCAGCTTCCTGCTCACACAGCCCTGGCTGGGCCCATCTTCCTTCTTTCCTCTTTGCCTTTTTGTTACCCGGAATTAGGTGGGACACTGGTGCAGCAGTCTGGAAGCCTGCGTTGTCTGGTGCTTTCCAACTGGATGGACCAGCTGTCAGGGACACAGCCACTGGGTGAGCTGAGGACAAGCACGGTGTGCTGGAGCAGCCAGATCGGGCCCTGCCATGCCACAGTTCCCAGAAGCTGAGGACAAGGCACCCATGGCATGGGGATGAAGAGCCAACCACTGCAACTGGATGTTCAGCAAGGAGCAAAGAGGAGCATGGCAGCAGCACTCAGCTTTACAGACTTTTATTTGTCTATCTGTACAGAACGCTGTTGCTATCATAATAAGGCATGAAACACACTATTGAAAAGCTCATGATGGACTGTGACGTTTTGCCCTGTTGTGGGTCAAAAAGGAGTTTTACAACATTAAACCAGTCGCTTTCCCAGTCGGTAAACTTTATATTCATTACAGACAGATTTTTAAAAGAATTACAAAGATTAAAAAACTGTAAACATATAAAACCCAGCAACAACCCAGCGTGGCTTCCTAGGAGAGAGTCTCAGGCATTCTTGCTGTGGGGCTGGTATGGGTCTGGCAGCAAGAAGGCAAGACTGGCAGGCCAGGGAGCCTGGTGGAGCTGGGACTCTGTGGAGTCACTCTTTTTGGGTGCGAGTCCCCAGCTGGTGCCAGGCAGTTCCCAAATGGCAGCCTTGGCCTCAGACAGCTAAAGGGACAGAAACTGAGCAAATGGGTCACTGGGAGCTGTTTGAGGAGAGGGGAGCCAGCCGCAGGCTACCAGCACCTCGCCACAGGGGAGCATCATCACAGCACATGGCATCTCCAGCCCTAATGCAGACCCCTGGGTCCCCTTCGGCAGGCAGGCCCTGGCACACAGATATGTCATGAGGTAGAACACAGGAAACTGTCACGCTTCACTGACAGAAATAAACTGACTGAGGGCACAAATCCTGGTATGCTCTGGGGTACTCCAGGGCTCACCTAAAACCCACCTGCTATGCCCCAAGAGTTAGATCCCCACAGAAGAAAGCTCTCCAGTGATCCACATGACAACTTTAACCCAAGCAAGGAAAAACACCCAACCTGATTTTAATCATGCTTGTACTCTTAAAGCATTTAAATTTTGAGCAGGGGAAATCAAACTGCAATGGCGTATGAGAGGGCAATTAATCTCCCTTGGCCTCAGCCTTTGGTACCATCTCGTGTGAGGTGAACGATGCAAAGGCTCGTCCACTGGGCAAATACATTCATTTTCTACCATCAGCCACCAGATAGCAAGTGTTGTGGTCTCTGTTGCATCACACAGCACGAGAACCTGAGAGTCCAGAGGTTTTATATCGTACCACCAAGCCACACAGTCCTGTAATGTGTACAGGTATCTTGCTGGGTGATCAGAGAAATGTCCTGAGAGTTTTATCTGCTAAACTCCTGCACTTTGCCTTCCTTCATCTCTTCCACAGCACACACAAACACCAAAATAAACTGTTAGTCCTGTTACTGAAATTTGCTTACTCCTCACACTCCTGCAGTGTCTATTTAGATTATTAGGTTGACTTACATTACCTCAGAATGCTTGGGGAAAACTTGAGGGTTCATTTAACTATTGCAGGCTCATGATCTGTGACAGGCATTTTACAAAGTGTCAGAAAACTTCTCACTTGATAATAATATACTGACAGTCAGGGGAGCGTTCCCTTTTCTAGTGCTAATAATCAGCATTAAGGCATGCCATGGTTCCTACAAGAAACCTGTGATCCTTACAGTGTTAGCTGTCATCTTTCTGCAATAATAGAATGCACTCCAATTTTATGAACGTGTACCATTACAAAATAAAAATAATGGCTCTTAAAACCACCAGCCTCAATTTAGAGCTACTGTCAGGAAGGTGAGAACAGCAATTCCCATTAGGGACCCAGGCTGGTGAAAGGGTTTTCATCCCCCACAGCACTGTCCCCTGTCCCACATCATCTTGCTGCCACCAGCTCAGCACCATTTGCCCTCTTACTTGGCAAGGCTTTCCTTGGGCCTCTGGAGGCCACATTCAGCTGCTTGCCATCCTTGGGCCAGGACAAGAGGCAGTGCTGTCCTCCCTACCCCATCTTGAGCAGTGTGTCAGGCCCCACAGGCAATGTCCACGTACCCACCAGCTGGCAAACGCCAGCTAATAAGGAGCCTTCCTCCTCCTGCTTCTCAGGTTACTTCCTTCCCCACTCTCACCTATCACAACAGGCTGAAGGCTTCTCCTTACATTTGGAAGCTATTCCATTTATTTACCCTAGAAATTCAATCCTGAATTCCTGATGACACATCCACAGGGACATAAGCTCTCCGAAGATGACAATGGAGGTGCTGGCCACTGTTGAGTTCTTGCCTGCAAACACACTCCACATGGCAAAATCATCTATGAGACAGCAGCACCACCTAATAAGACTGCTCATTTAACTACCAAATAACACTGAACTAAAGCAGCAGTTAGACCAGCTAACATCTGAAGCAGCATCTCTTTTGCAGGGCCAACACTAAAGCCTGGGTACCACACTATGCTATTTACAGTGACCAAAGGCACAAGCCTGGAGCAGGACTGCTCCTTGGACCCTTGGTCGAAGGCACCCGTGCCATCACCCATGGCTGGCAAGCAGGAGGGACTGAACTGAGTGAGTGCCAGACTCCGGTGCTGCACATGCCTCCTGACACAAACACCCAGGGAAGAGGGAATGAGGAGGCAAAACAGCCTTCAGTCTCTCTGCATGAAGACCCCACATTTCCAACTGACACTTGTTATGCTGACAACTCATGCTGCCACATATTCCTGGGAAAAGGGGGACACAAAGGAGATCTCCTTCCCCAAGAGAACTCTTCTCAGGTATGTCACAGTGTGGAAAAAAACAACCCCAGTATCATGTTAAAAATACTCAATATTCCTGATATTTGAGACTTAGCCCACAACTGACGAGGCTGTGACAGTGAATCACAGGTTTCTACTAAGACTCTGCAGTCAGGGATTGTACAGACAGAGCTCTTCACTCATGTTTGGATTTGGCAGGGACACATACATATATATTAACAGGACATACAGGTATACTAACCACTGTTCAGTAGGAACTGACAGTGATATATACATCAATCTTCGTTGGTTTTCTCAGCACTGCAAGAACACACCCTTAATGTTCCACAGAAACTGATTGATAACAAAGTGAATAGCATCAGTAGTACAGGTTTTTGGCTACTGTGCCACAGAACTGTGATTAAATAACAACACATACTCTCGATCACCCCTATGTTAAGTGAGTCCCACATCAGCCAGTAAACTGCCTGATGTTTGACCTTTGTATTTCCCAACAACTGATTTTTTTTTTTTACAAATGAAGTGGTTTTTATTGACAGAGCCCCAGAAAGCTCCTTCCTGACCTTTCCTTGCTGGTTATGAGAAGGCTGACAGCCTGGTGATACAAAACTGAAGTTTCAAAAGGACTAGTAAGATGTAGACAGTCCCCATATAAGCACAGCCCTGCAGCTGAGCTTGAATTTCTTCTGGCATCCATGCTGAAGGAGACGTGTTCAGTCTCAGCATCCCCGTGTTTTTTCACTTTGGGCCTTTTGAGACTCCAAACAAGAGGTCAGTTAATTCAAGTTATGGCAGTTTTCATACAAAGACATCTGTCCACTAGGAACTAAACTTCTTTTATATGGGTCACTATAGTTATCAGAAGTTAATGACTATCAATCATTCCTAATCTGAACTGAAATGGAGCCACTGACCTCAGCTGAAAGAGCCTTTTGTCTCTTACCACTACCATGATCCATATGGTTCCCTGCCCTTTGCCTCTTATTTTATATTCTAAATAATCATCCCTAATTGTACCATTGTTTGAAAATATGGGAGGTTTGTAGTAAGTCATGACCAAGTGGTGCTCTTTCTTCCCTTAGGTCTCACGCAACAGAAGGGATCAGCTTAAAATTAAAGGATAAAAAAGCATTCCTCAATTAAATATTAGCCCTGCTGTTTGAATATGGGTCTTGCTTCTTAACAGTCTACCACGTAGACTATTCACAGTCCTGCAGGCTGAAATAATTAACAGCCTCCAAAGTGTCAAGGTCATTCTTGTTCTATACTGGAGTAATAAGAAAATGATATAGACAACACACCAATGGAATGTTTCATATTAGGATTAACGAGTATCTGAGGAACCTACTTATCACAAATCTCTTTTTATTCAGTGGTTTTCATTATTTTATATCAGTTGCAATTTCTCTGGCACGTTTTCCCTTTACAAGGGCTCATATGCTTCAAACATTCATTATAGAGCTTAAAAAAAAGATTTTTGTCAGACAAATAAACTGCATCACCAGCTATCTTTAGCCACATCTGTTTTCTTTAATGAAACATATTTTCCTGTAGAAATGCTGCCTTAAAAATCATGACCATGCTAATTATCTATGGCAAGCACATCTTCCTCAACTAACGACAGCTCGAGCATGTTATCATTTGCACCAGACTTCATTCTGAAATTGAAAGACCCATAGAGCTTTGCAGACTCCTTGGAGGATGCAAACCTGCTCCTCCGGTACATCTCCCCTTTCCACATGGACACCATCAGCAGGCTGGACAGCACCACACCCCCCAGAGTTAAAAGACACAGCCCAGCGATAACACAGCGGTCCAAGTGAGCCCCAATCCTAGCACTCTCATTCTCCAGCCTCTCCATCTCCCGGGCAGCCACTGTGTTGGGATCCACAGTCACGTCTCTGGGTACCACATAGGAAATGATCACCAGCAAAATGCCACTAACCAGGAACAAAATGGCACTGATGAACCCATAGTCCACAGACTTCCCGGCTGCCACCTCTGAGGCAGCGTCTTCCTCCTCAGAGACCAGGGAAGGAGAATCATGCACCCACTCGGGTGGCAGCTCCCTGCAGGAATGCTGCTGCAGAGGGGCATCCTGGCAGTGGCTGCCTGGAGGACTGAGGGCACTTGCATGCTCCAGGTTTATGTTTTCATCCACATAGGTGAATGACGTTTCGAGTTCCTGGGCACAGCAGCAGGCTTTCTTCTTCCCTCCATCCTCATTCCTGGTCAGGTGCTCAGGCGGGTGGCAGGGCTGGGACGTGCCGGAGGGTGCTGGGTGCTCCCAGGGTGAGGTCCCTGGGGGAGACGGCTGGGGTGCCAAGGGGGGCTCAGCCACAGGGCCCCTCTGAAGGGGCTTGCAATGCCTTTCACAGTGCAGGGCTGCCACTGCAGCGGCTGTTCTGGGGTCCACTTCACCCCCCTCATGCTGCTGCTGCTGCTCGCAGGGAGGGGAAGGCAGCCTCCAGTCCGTAGCGGTGCCCAGGGATGCCTGCCTGCTCTCCTCTGCCAAGTAAAGAAGCTCCATGCAAGCCATCAACCTTGTCTCTGCAAGCCCTGACTCCTGGGCTACCGCATCCTTCAGCAGATGTCCCTGACCCGCGGAAGCGGCTTCACGGTACTGGAGCTGCTGTATCCCAGAAATCTTCTACTCTTTCATCACTGTTTTGTTAGGGACATGGCTTGTGTCAGCTGTTAAATGACTAAATAAATCCTCTCTGACATTCATTTCTTTTCAGTCTGCAGATGAAATAGCAGAGAGGAAAAAAAACACAAAACAACAAAAACAAACCTGACAACCTCATAATGATACATTAATAAACCAAAGATAAGATAATGCAAATGTGAAACATCAGTCTTCCTCTCAACTGTTCGAGGGGAGACGGCAAACACGATTGTTTTAACTACGCATTTAAAACTGCAATCCTCTTGCAGATCCAAAATCTATTAGGGAGTCTAATCAACCTTTGACACCAAGATCCAATTAAGGCAGTAAGTCATTTACATAGTGCAGGATAACCGGAATAACTGTGTGAAATGTCAGAGAAACGAGATGTCTGCTCTCTCAAAGCCAGTACCTCTCCCACCCCCTTCCAAATAAAGATTTAAAACTCAGATTCACAGACTAACTAGAAAAAAAACACACAAATCCCATGTAGCTCAGTAATCCAGGATCTCTATTCTCTGATGGAAATCTGATAATCCTATGGGAAAAGCAGCGCTTTCCTATAGCAGATCTCCCGTTCGATTAAGAGCTTTCGGAATGAAATTATGCCTCAAAGACTGGTGACTCAAAGACGGATATTACTTCTCATCTGCAATTAATTCGTTATTACCCCCTTCTTCCGCGCCCCATCCCCCCTCGAGGCCGATGCCCGGTGTCACTAGATGCCTGCAGCCCAATAAAAGTGTTGCATGCGTAGAAAACACATGTGCGCCTATCGCGTATCCGCGATCGGTTACAACCGCTGCTCACTCACGCTCTTCCCAGGACCTCAGCGGGAACCGGCCGCGCAAGCAAATGCGGTCCCCGCCGGCGCCAGGAGCAGCTGGATCCGCACGGAACTGTGTGACCCGAGTGATGGGGGTTACAGGCGCGCAGGCACGCAACCCCGGCAAGCAGGAGCACGCCGCCTCCTCCTCCCGCAGGGCTCTCACCTGCCCGGCCCGCCTGCCGCGCTGCCGCCCGCACACCTACCTAACACCCGCACCGCGGACAGCGTCCCGGGGCTCAGCCGGGCGGCGCCGGGAAGGGCAGGGCTGGGCCAAGCCGAGCCTAGGCGGACAGTGAGGAGCCGAGCCGAGGCGGGCAGTGCCGAGCCGAGGCGAGGGGAGGCGAGGAGGGCGGCGGGCGGGCTGTGCCGCGGGCGGGCGGGCGGGCGGGCGGGCGGTGGCTGCGGCACGCCGGGAGTTGTAGGCACAGGCGGCGGGCGGCCGCGCCGCTGCGGCAGCCCCGGGAGCCGCGCCGGGAGGCTCGCCAGCGCTCGCCGCCGCCCCGCGGGCGCCTCCCGGCGGGGGCCTGCAGTGATCCAGCCGGTGCCTCCTGCGTCTGAGGGCTGGGTTCAAACCTCACCGGGCAGGCATCGCAGAATCACAGAATCAACTAGGATGGAAAAGACCTTTAAGATCATCAAGTCCAAGCATTACACCAGCACTGCCCAAGTCCACCACTAAACCATGTCACTAAGGGCCTCGTCTATGTAGTTGTTGAACACTTTCAGTGATGGTGATTCCACCACTTCCCTGGGAAGCCTTTTCCAATGTCAGCTCCCTCTGAGCCCTACGCTCCTGGCACGGGTTTGGAGAGGAGCTTCTCTGAGCAAGACTTACAGGAAAGTTTGAGGAATTCATTCTGTGTTAGCAGACTCTCCACATACTTTCTGTGGCAGGCATAAATGACTTAAAGGCTGTTGCCAAAAATACATAATAAAATGAATGACCAGTTTGTACAAACCATCAATGACTTTTCTTGCTAGTGCTTTCTCTGAAGAGATGAACTAGAATATGAAAATAAATTGTGGAGGAACTGAAGATTTATTATAGGTGGCTATTGTGGTGTTGAGGAAAGACCTGGCTTTGGGGAGACAAAGAGCAGGGAGGGACCCTTGGAGTAGAGCTGAAATGAGGATGCTCATGAGAAGTAGAAGTGAGCAGCACCTGCCCATAGGTACGGGGCAGGAAAACAGGGGCACGAGGGAAAGCGAACTGGGGAGGAGCCAAATGAGGCAGAAGGACAGATTGTCTGAAGGAGGTCACTTGACACCGGAGTACAAGGTGATCCTCTGTAAGGACTCTGCCAGTTCTGAAGCACTGTATTATGCAAACAAGCTGAAGTTTTGAAGGCAAATCTTGCTGACACCCAAAAGACCCAGTACAGAAGATTCAAATCTTTGTGCCAGTAACTCCCACGAATGCTAAAATTACTTGCCAGGGCACAGCAATACCAAGGGACTCCTGGTGCCCATCGCACAGATTGCTCAGCACTGTGGGCTGGTTTGGACCACCGTTTCAAAGCAGCTCCGGGCAGTGTTTCCATTAACAGAGTGCAGTTTCAATGCATTGAATAGTGTATTATTCACTCTTTGAAGAAAAATTGTAAGGAGAAAATTATGGAGTGAAAACAGCACAGGACGTCCTTGGAGCTTTTTGTAACAATGCCCTCTTTGAAATAAATATAAAGGCGAAAACCCAAATGCCTAATGAAAGTGAAAAAAAAAAAAGAATAAAAGAAAAAAAGAAAAAAGCCTGTTGGTAAGTTGCTCAAACACTTTAAAGAAAAAGTGAAGGCAGAAACACTCTCTTAAAGGCTAGTGTACATTTCCATCTGGGAGCACACAGATAGGAGCTGGTAACACAAGATGCACCTACCTTATTCAATAGACAAGTCTTACTTAGGTGACTACCAGGACAAAATGTGGTGCTCAGCCGCAGCAACACAGCCTGGAAGATAGTCAGCACCTCTCCTGGTCCCAGCACAGTCTGCCATGGCCTTGGGTAGACAGTTTCATACCAATAGCTGATACAAAGGCAGGAAATTGTTGTCATTGATCTTCAAAACTCAGGAGCTACAGCACATTTTCTTGAGCACTTACTAGAACCTTAGTTACGTGTTACTTAAGCACACACAAAAGCCTTGCTGATCTGCCACCCACTTTCCCTGTTGTGTGCCAGCTTGTGTCAGGCAAGTGTACAAATTTGTTGCTAATAATTACAAGCCCATGAAGTAAGAAGAAAACAGGGAACATGACTCTGTCAAGCAAAGAATTTTCTGTTGTCATATGTCTTCCCAGGTGAAGGTGTCCCTCCTTTGCCTCCTACAGTGCAGACTCTTATAGTGAACTCATTGGCTAGTCACAATCCCTTATACTGGCATTTCTTTTTTCTTTGGAGGCAAAGAGTTAACAGCATTTTTGTTTAAAGAATGTAAGTGATTGCTGCCAATGCTCTAAGGTGTGGAGGTGGTGAAATGAATGCATAGCAACACATACTCTGCAAACACAAATGCAGCTGGTGAAAAGATTAATCAAGCAAGAGCAAGAAGTAAGAACATTTTTCATAGAAAAAAGATGGCTGCGCAGAGCTAAAAACCAGACTGATGGACACACAATGGGACAGGAATAAAAGACCGGAGCAGAGTGTCAAGGTTGATGAGCCTTGTTGTCTCTACTGCAGCCTACCACATCACACAGTTCTTTCAGAGTCTGAGCAGAGCTGTGGTAGCAACACAGTGATAATATGGGATGTGACAGTAGGCTGAAAAAGGTGTATCAGCTGGGATATACAGAATTAGATTTAAACTATGCTCTAGACCTGCTTGGAAGTTCTCTTCCAGCTGACACAGCTATAAATGAATATCTGAACTAGATGTATATGGATGTCTTTTCTGTTCTCAGTAAGTTATGTACAGCCTAAGACTGGAAGGAGGCTGGTGAGGATCTAAGAGTGGTTTCACCCCACCTAATTATGCTTGCATTTATAGACTTCTTGTGGGCATGACCAGCCTTGAAGGCATCAGAGAAACCAGGCAAAACTGGAATGAGTTTTCTGAATGGTGCATCCTATCAATAGGGTGATGAAACATTCTGCTTGTTTTTACCAGTCCAGGAATTTTTCTAGTGCTGGATGGGATCCTCAATGGAGCATTCCCCCAAATATTTTTATTCTTTTTTATTCCTTTAGGGATCTTGTGTTCACAGAATCTTCAATTCTTTATCCCACACAGTCATAGGACCTTAAGCTTCCAGCAGTCCTTGTGCAAGTGCTGTAGGACTGCATAGCTTCTAAGATAAAGGTGGACTCTGGACGGTGTGGCTCAGAGCATAATGTATTCAGAGAAGTCTAAGGAGACTATTGCATAAACTTCCCATTTCCATTCAAATAGATCACATTGCTGAGCAAAGTAAATTGGTTAGGGAGCCAATAACAAGGGGCTGCAGGAAAATTTAAAAACTATTAAAGAAATATATGGACCTGTGTACAAGTCGGTGCAAAATAATAAAGGCAATAGAGGTGAATAAAGAGACCAAGCTAAGCTTTTATATAAATACAAAAGAAAAAAGGGATGTACTTTTTTTTTTTTTGCTTAGAGAATATATTCTGAGGATAGTGAGCAAATATTTGGACAACTCACCATGAAAAGAAGTATCCAGCATTTCTGTGTGTTTAAAACACATTACTGTCACAGATCTATTGATTTATAAAGCAGAAGTAGATAGGAAGGCAATTTAATACTACTTTGGTTGCTTTACTAATGCACATCCATTGTGCATTAATAAAAGACACAGTAAGTACATAAATTTAAAGGGAAACAAAGAAACCGTATATGGGTGATCTGATGTACCAGAATTGTCAAGTGGAGATTAAATCTTTGTTAAAGTCTTCCCATGTCTGAGCATGTGAAATCGTGGTTTGGATATCTAGAGACCCTGAGCAAGAAAAGGAGATATTCCTCAGGCTTAGATCAAGGAGTCACCTGGAGGAGCAGGAGTGGGAGAGTGGGCTGTTGACCACTGGAAAAAACGATGTTGTTACAGCCCAGCTTTTTGGGTCACCTTGCTTGGACACTTTTGGTTATGTCCAAAGAGACTCTGCAAATAGGAGAAATGCAACTTAGAAGTGTGAATCAATTACTTACAGGCTAACAGATGTGAAGGACATGCAGGATTTAAGGAGCTGTTAGGATGAGGTTTGCTCCCTCCTGCTTCACCCATGGAGACTTGCTGGTGTCAGGGCACTGGGAGGGCAAAAGCCAGGTCTGGGTGTCGCAGAGCTGCTGCCTCCCACTTGCTCTGGCCACACGAGTGACTGGAGCAGGACCTGAATGACCCCACTACCCCGTGCTTTGCCGTTCATTCCGACCAGCCTTTCTGCTTTCCTCCTTCAGGAGCTCATACTTGGCCATTTTCCCTCCTGAATCCTTGGGCAAATGACCACCCCTGCCTCAACACCCTGATCCTTGACTGTACCTTTATTTTTTTAGTATCCACTGACTTTCTCACAGCTCTTTCTCAGCAGCCTGTGCTCCAGTTGTACAGTGGGACATACCTGAGCTGTCCCTGCCCTGTCCGAAGCAGACTGGCTGCCTAGTGCCAGTGACCTGGACACCTTTATAGGTGCCTAAGCAGTTGAACACTGGAGTGGTGGAGATACCTCCAAACAGGCCTCTCTGACATGGGCCTGGGGTCATCACATATCCCCACAGGCCCACTGGTGTTGCCTGTGAGCACTAATGTCTCCATCTGTTTCCCAACATGACCACACCTTGGACATTAAGGACATGTCTCTCCCTGGGTCAGCTCACAGACCGGAGGCTGCAGCCCTGTATGCTCTGTGACTGCTGAGTGTCAGACTTCATGCACACAGCTGATCCCTGTCTTTGCCTTTTCCAGGTGCTTCTCTGAGTGGTTGTTCTCATCACCTTGTGCACACTTACATGGGAAGACAGTGATTCACCTCCAGTAAACATGTGTTAGATCTGGGAGTTTTAGTCCACCAGATGTCCAGCACAGCCTGCAAAATACTGATTATGCAATGGAGGAATGCAGAGGAAAAGTGAGATGATAGACTACCCTGCAGGGAAGCCAACCTGAAAATCAGAGACTGCTTAGGGGAGGAATAAAGAAAACACCAAAGAGCTTTTAAGCTAGGGACTTAAAGGACAGACGATAGTGCAGAAAAAATAGGGAGTGCAACATAATATGAGGAAATAATAGCTTCACCCATAAACTAGTGATTTTTCATTATGCTGAATCTGGAAACAAAAATTACTCATGTCTGTTTCAGT